TAGCTTTGTGCAGCCCCAAAAGTTTGTAACGCCGCGAAATATTGGTCCTAGACCCACCTTTAAGTATACCGATCGTCACATCTCGACTAGCTGAGTCGATCTAGACATGTGTGTCCGTCCGTCCGTCTGTCCATTATAATGTGTAAACACGCTACAAGGCACAGTTATGTACCAATCTTCGGGGATCGGGCCTAAGAATAAGCATGCCTGTTTTGATAAAGATCGCTCAATATTTAGCGGGTCAAATAGACCCTGACTTTTGTGTGAAAAATTACAATTTTTTATTCTGGGGCGTATATACTTGCTCCTGAAGGACATATACTCGAGATGTTGATAGTATGTCCAAGATGAGTTGTTGACCTTCAAATTGATACCAATTATATGGCTGTATGTACTCCGATGCGGGAGTTATACGTAATTAATTAAAGGTGACTATGTGCATATTATTACTATTACTCCATTAGAGGACGGAAATCTCGCGCTGATCGCTTTGAAATTGTACATGAAGTTCCGATTATGGTCAAGGACGACGCATATAAATTGCTTTGAAGTTGAGATTTCATTCAGGGCGTACAATGAACCGAAAACTTTAATTTTGCCAGATTTTCTAGTCGCTCTAGAGGCAATTATTATATACAGAACATCACATATTTTACAAGGTGAAGGGGATCTGACCAAATACTTAGAGCGATTGTTTAGATGATGATCGGTCAATTTTCCGAGTTTCAAATCAACCAAAACATAAAGTGACCAATTTTTTATTTTATGGCGTAAAAATTCACTTCAAGAAAAAACATTTTGGAAAATATGCAAGACTTAGAAAGAGGAGTTGTTGATCTATAATCGGTAAAAAGGGTGCAAATATCACGAAATATTGCCCAGGCTTTTCGTAGTAGTTGTGTAGGGTATCATATGGTCGGCCCCGTCCGAATATACTGCTCCGCTCACTGGTTTTAATTTATATTTGAAATACGCTAACAGATTTTGAATCAGCCTATTTTCCTTAAACTATGTACCAAAAATTATGAATGTCCTCCGAAAATTTTTTTTTTTACATTTTTTATGGAATTTTAAAGGAATTTTGTAGATGTTTGAAAATATATTATTATTTTTTCTAAAAGTTTGATGGTTATCGGTCCAAGAATTGGTCACGTTTTCAATTGAATGGAGGTATTTGGGTCCCCTTATTTTCGAACTGTTTACGATTTTGAATCGGATGTAATATTTATGTTATAGATATCAACTTTCAATCTTAATTACTAAAATTTATGAATATTCGTTCGTCATCAGGTATTCTTTCCAGTTAATAGTATATGCTAATTTTCATAATTCAAAAATATTTTGAGTTCTGATTGGAAGACACATTTTCTCACCAAAAATTATACATATCGGACATTCATTCATGTAAAGGCCTATCGCATTTATATGTAATTTTGTGAATCTTGGCGCATTATCCAACCGATGTGGCTGTAATTTGGTGGGTAAACAATTTCTTTACAGAACATTTTCGTTATAAGTTCTTACGAAGGTGTTATTTTCGTTATGTTCAGAGTACTTACTTACTTACATAGCTGGCTTGCAACAGAACATTTGTTCCGTAAGCCGAGTTAAAAAAGATTTGCATTGTGGTATTGAAAAATTCAGCTTGTGCCCGGCTGGGATTTGAACCCTGGCATCTGTTGATTGTTGTCCGGCGCCTTATCGTTCAATGCCACCTCCTTATCTTTCGAAGGTTGCACAATATGCAGTTGCATACCATTGAAGAAAAATATTATAGTAAATTCTTCTATAGGCAGAAGTCAACTTATCAAGTAAAGACATTTGTAAGCTACATTGCCCAATATGCCTGATGAGCCGTTTAACCAACGGCGAAACGCGTCGCGTAGTGGTGGGAATGTAGTATCTCCCTGGCTTTCCTTTTCATTGCAACTCCGATCATGTAGCTCATCTCGAAAGAGAAATTAATAAAAAAAAAAACATTTACATGAATGATACTTCGCCCTAAAAAGGCATAAGAACAAAACTCGAAATAACGATGGTTTCTTTAACTTGATATTTCCATCGAATTCGTGGCCTTCCCCTTCCGCTTGAACCATGAGGAGTCTCGCTTTTATATATCTTTTGAGCTGGGGCATCATCATTCATTCGCACAACATGATCTAGCCAACGTTGTTGCTGCAGCTCAATACGTCTGACTATGTCGATGTCTGAGAATAAATGGAAGCAGATCGACCCATGAATCTTCCTGATAATTTTTCTCTCAAACACTTCAAGAGCTATCACTCTGTTGCCCAAGTACCCATGCTTCAGATTCACACAACAGCACGGGTAGTTCAAGCGTATTGTAGAATGTGAGTTTGGTCTGGCGAGAGGTGGCCTTGTTTTGAATTGCTTACTCAGACCATAGTAGCAACTGTTGGCCAACGCTTTTCTTCTCTGTAATTCAAACCTGATAGAGTTCCACAGTTGGATCGAGTCTACTGGACGTCTTGGCTGTCGGTACCATCACCTTGGTTTTCTAGCCATTTACTTGGGACTGACAGACTCCTCAATTTGTTCAAAGGTGGCTGCTACCGCGCGCAATGTTCGACCCATAATGTCGATGTCATCGGAGCAGGTGAGTAACATGTGTTGTTTGGTGTACAGAGTGTCATTTCTGTTCACCTTTACATCTCGTATGACCTTTTCCAGCAGGATGTTAAAATGGTCACACGACAAACTGTCACCTTGTCTGGATCCTCATTCGGTATTGAAGCGCTCGGAGAGGTCCTTTCAGACTTCAACTGCTGACTTTGTGCCAGTAGGAATGCCGAATGCAGACGAATAGGTTGAATGTTTCCATCTATTTTTCGTGGATATTTTTCAGGATTTGACGCAGTGTGAAAATGTGGTCAATGGTGGATTTGCCAGGTCTAAGGCCGCATTGATACGATCCAATAACAGCATTGACATTGGCTACAGTCGTTCACCCAGCACGCTGGCTAGCACTTTATATGCGATACGAAGGAGACTAATTCCTCTATAGTTAGCACATATAGTCTTGTCTCATTTTTTGTGCATGTTTGAAGACCTATTCCATATTTCCAACCTGAGTGTATGAACTTCGGAGTTTCCTGGCCACGACGGACTATATATTTGAATGTCCAGCTCTTGGTGGTGGGTATACAAAGATATAATGTATTTTGACTAAAGACTATCTGTATTGGGAGACCTATAAATTGTTTTCTGCCTATGGAAGAGTTTACGGAGCCTTGGTTGTCTCCCTTCTAAAGATTATATTCGTCGCTGTGATGGTTATACCCAATAATGTTAGATCCATGCTGAATGCCTTCAATGTTTCGAGACGAACCTGACAGTAGAACTGCTATATAAAATTTTGTTATTTAATGTATTTGTCGTAGACCTAGAAAAAATTATGTTTATTCTTGCTCTTCGATATACCCATAATAGTGAATATTAAGGCTCGATGACACATTCGGCATTATGAAGATTGAAGACGAAATTTTCAAACTTGCTTCAAATTGGTATTTAGAGATTTTTGACAACCAAATTTTTTAATATAAGTACATGATTTGATATGCCTGCCTTTCTCCCTATGCGTTCTCATGGACCTTTTTCTCTTTCAGATTACAATCGTAGATTGGTTAAATATCTCTTGGCAGGGACATGCTTGATATTGCTCAAAGATTGGCAAAATCTCATAAATATGGGAAACTCCATATTTGATCGTTTCACTAGCCGCATTTTCCAACCTCTGTAATTTAGTATTTTAGTTCCTCAAAGTCCCATAACAGCGTTTGAATTAATTTTAAGTCCCGCCTGATTGTAATATGCCAACCAAAGGTTAAAATGTGCGACCCATTTTTTTGTCAATAGTAAGACATATCAGGAGAATGTGTCATAAAAAATGACAGCTGTCATCCATTGCAGTATTCTGCCATTCTCTCAAAAAGAACTCGGCAATGACTTACGCCAGTATATACCGACCACAAAAATCAAACTTTAATAACACCATTTTCATGTGAATTAAAAAATAAAATAAAATATTTAAAATTATCCACATTAAATGTAGAATTTTCATTGCATCAGATAAAATATAATATGAACATATTCATTTACAAAGCAAACATAAGATATTCAAATAACAAAAATAACAAACTAAGAATGTGCCAAAATATAGGTGAGTTGGTTGGTAAATTAATTAAATCTGAACTAAAAATCAAAATACTATTAGCCACACAATGTGGCTATAGACAGACCCTCAGCGGATGGAGATGTTCTTGTGAGCTATGGTGCTTTTGTCGCTATGGCTGGATGACTAAAACGATAAAAATTATCTTCATTGAAGACAAACAAACGGACGTTGTGACGCATTAACGAATGGACAGACAGACGCGGGTATGGTCGAACAACTTATCACTCACTGACTCAATTGTAGCAGACATATAACATAACATTTTGACAAGTCTCTGACTTAGCTCGTAAGTCTGTTAAATATGGTATGGTCTGGTCAAAAAAGCGATGACAGTGATTATAGTGATGTTGGAGAAGAATAAGAAGAAGCAGAATAAAATGTGTAAAAAGGCTGTTTAATTGTTGAAACAACGCTAAAAACAACAACAGCAGAAAATAGCTGAGAATATATAACACAAACCACAATACAAGTAACACCAACAGCAGCCAAACACTACAACAACAACAACGACACCAACACTCTATCTCCATGCCGGTGTGACTGACTGAACAAAAAAGAACATTTAATCTGAATTTTTTCGCTACAAATTTCTGACTGAACTATAAATAAGAATAACTACTCAACAAAAGATATCATTTCGCTCTGAACCGTCCACAGCGACAGAAACGTGTCGTAGAGGAGTATTGAAACACTTGGGATTACAAATACAAAATGGTACGTTTCGATTTTGATTTTATTTGGCTAGAATGAGATTCTTAATTTAATTAATTATTCATGTGAATGTTTTTTGTGTTTTTTTTTTTAGAAAATATTTGTGCTTTTGCTGGCCTGTGCGGCATTTGTAAGAGCCGATGTTTCACATTTGTTTGGCCACAATCATGAACATCACCATGATCATCATGAACACCATTACCATCACCAACATGGCTATGAATACTCTCACCAAGAAATAGAAAATCATCCAGGTTATGATTATCCCAAACCGAAGGTGCCTTTTGAATTGCCAAAAACTACACTGCCACCACCACCCAAGCCAACCTATTTGCCTCCAGAACCACCAAAGCCAACCTATTTGCCTCCACAACCACCAAAGCCAACTTATTTGCCACCCAAACCAGTGCCTACTTATTTGCCTCCTCCTACTACTACGACAACTACCACAACAACTCCAAAACCTACAACGACAACAACTACCACCACAACACCGAAACCAACACCACCTAAGCCAACATACTTGCCACCAGAACCACCAAAGCCCACCTATTTGCCTCCAAAGCCAACATACTTGCCCCCTACACCACCTAAACCAACCTATTTGCCGCCTACACCACCAAAGCCAACCTACTTGCCACCCACACCACCAAAACCAACCTACTTGCCTCCCACACCTCCAAAACCCACATACTTGCCTCCCAAGCCAGTGCCAACATATTTGCCCCCTAAGCCCATCACTACAACTACTACAACAACCACAACGACTACTACGACAACAACACCAAGACCAACACCACCTAAGCCATCTTATTTGCCTCCAACTCCACCTAGGCCCACATATTTGCCACCTTTACCACCAAAACCCACCTATTTACCACCCACACCACCAAAACCCACCTATTTACCACCCACACCACCAAAACCCACATATTTACCACCCACAACCCCAGTAGCCCAGTATTTGCCGCCTCAACCCATTAAGTCGGAATATTTGCCACCCAAACCCAACAAATCGGAATATTTGGCACCCGCTCCAACACCCACCTTCAAAATTCCCATTCCCTCATATGCCGCTCCCCTAGAGGAAGTATTTGGCAATGAATTGCAAGAGGATGGTTATCATTACAATATCCCGGCCAAGAGATTCTTCTTCTAAGCTCAAGGACACAAAAAAGGGCTAAAAGTAAGAATGGTTGACCTAATCACCTATCCACACACCGATATTGTTATGAAGACTGAGTATTAGACGGAAAGTAAACGCTGATATTATTTTTGAATAATGCTTGCGTGTTAGACGTTATTATGAGTTTAATTTTTTTAAGTTGTTGGTAATTTTTTTCCTAGAAAACAAAATAAATATTATAAAATTTTACAAAAAAGAAAATTAACACATATTTTTTTATTTTCAACCAAAAAGTGGAATATTGTGCAAGAAAAAACACAACATGAAATTTTCAATATCAAAGAGTGATCTGTTGAAGTAAATGGTTCATTGAACCTGCGTTGTCATCAAAACAAAAGACTTAAGACAAAAGCGTTATGAAAATGTGGTTTTGATTATTCATGTGCTATATATATTCATATTGTTCAGAATATTCCAAACATTTGGTAAACTTTTAGTTAAATTAATTACACACATTTTTAAAAATGTCGAATAGAAAAAAATTCTATTCGACTGGTATTTATGGTATTTTAAAATGGCTCTGTTTTAGGCAACATCGCAAAGGCAAGTAAAAAAATCTCAATCGGGTTTGCCGACAGATATATACCTTAAGCCTATGGTTTGCGGAGTTACACACAGGATTTATAAAGTGTATATGTTTTTTTTTTATCAAAGAGGTTTCGGATTTAATGTTGATCAAGTTATCTTCGCTCTTTGAGAGGGCAGATGGGTCCCAACTTCTGAATTAATCTAGGTTTGGTAAATATAAACGTTTTTGCAATGTTTGGTGCAAGTCGGATAGTCCGTTGGAGTAATATTATAATATTAAGTTTTAGCACAATTTTGATCATTTTGTAGGGGAGGTTCCAGAAGGAGTGGACCGATATTCCACATCTTCAAAGTTGAACTAAGTTTGGTACAAAATATTACGATGTACAAAATTTGGATGAATTCGAATGCCCCCTTCGAGAGTTATTGTGCGTACTAGCCGGCCAGACAGACGGACATTTGTAAATCGATTCCAAATTGTCTGAAACGGATTTGGTCCAAGAAACATGGGGTCTAAAACCAATATTTCAATGAGGAAACATATTAATTGTATATACTCTCATAATGTTTAGGGTATAAAATGCGAGCAGATCTAGAAGTGTGTGTGATATTTCGTCCATTATACCTTACACAACTACTACTGAGTTCTAACTTTCTGTCGATCTATATTCTGAGCCAGGGAAATATTTCTTGATCAGTTAGAGGCCAACAGGTCCCTGGCGTCTTTTCCCAATCCTGTTTTCCCCAATTGTTTCCCAAAAGTTTTGGGTCATTTGACCCGCTAAATATTGATTGATTATTATAGGAACAAGTTTAATAATTAAATATTATCTGATTATCACCGAAAATGTTAGGCGTCATCATTGACAATAACCGGAACTTCGTGTAAAATTTCAAATATTAGTTTGGGGTAAAAGAAATCCATTATTTTTTGGCAAATGGTTGTACTGATAGATTTCTCGTACAGTATCGATCAAATAATTTTGAGATTTATGCTCGTAGGAAGGGTAATAGTTCGCAGTTAAAAAATAATTTGGTGTTTTTTTTAGTGCATTCTGTTGTGAGTTACAGGGTATTAAAAATGAAAGTGAACAAAGAGAAAATTCAGTACATTTTACAGTTTTCCTTTGACAAAAATGCAAGCCAAGCGGCTAAAATTGTGAATTGCTCATAATTGGCTGTTACAGTATCGGAAGTAATAGGCAATTATGTGCAATTTTGGTTTCGTAGATTCCGTTCAGGAATTTTTGATGTTAAAGATGCACGTCGCACAGGTCGGCCGGTCGTCGAAAATGTCGATAAAATTGGAGAAATTATCGAAATCGACCATAACTGCTTTTAACCATTTACATTTACTAAAGTCGGACTGGGCCGACTATATGATACCCCTCACCATTTTGGGTACATACAAGAGATGATAATATCTACAATATCCTGTATATAGAACAGACATAGAATTTTTGGAGAACCATTATGATGAAATCGGACGAAATTAAATGTGCTATCTAGATAGATATTTTAGTCAATTGAAAAAAAACCCATACACATGCCATTCTAAAATCAATGAAATATTGCATGTCAAACAGGCACTTGGATTCTTTGGTGTACCTCTTGTATGAAATCGAGTAAAATTATGTATGGGAACTATATATAAACACATGGACCTAATTGATCTACTGTATAAATCGAACAAACAAAAAAAAATTGTTTCCCAATCGGACAAATATGTGGAGTTTGGTGTATCATTCACAAAAAATCGGTAGAAATTATATATGGGAGCTATATCTAAATCTGAACCGATTTTATGAAAACTTCGGAGACATCAGTCTAAACATAATTCAGTGCGCTATGCAAAAGTTTATCCCAATCGGACAAAATATTGGGAGTTTGGTGCATCATTTACGTAAAATCGGACTAAACTATATATGGGAGCTCAGAGGTGGTCCGTCAAAAATAGTGACGCAAATGACATACATTTACGACGTATAATACATACGTCTAAAAAGACGGAAACCTATGCAAAACCATTAGGTTTTTGACAAAAGAGTTTTTTTCCATTAGGGAATATGGAAATTGGATATGCTTTAATGAAAACAATATCAAATTTAATTTTTTTCTCTTCAAAAATATTTCGAATTTATTGTTCGAGCTAGTATGTAATAGTCAGAAATATCTAAAAATATTCTATATTATAGAAAATAACTGTATATGTGAAAAATATTGAAATAAATGACGTTTATTACATTATATACAAGTATTTGACGTTTTCGACGTTTACAACTTTTTGGCAGTCGAAAACCTTAAATTTCGTCAAAGGGCCCATCCCTGTGGGAGATATATCTACATCTGAACCGTTTTTAATAAAACTTGACACATAAGTACGGACCTGATTTAGTACGCTGTGCAAAATTCTGTCCCAATCGGATAAATATTGGGAGTTTAGTGCATCATTCACATAAAATCGGACGAAAATATATATATGAGCTATATCTAAATCTGAACCAATCGTATGAGCCATATAAGTAAACTGTGCCAAATTTCATCCAAATCGGATCATAAATGCGACCTGTACTTTGTTCACAAAAGCTACATGGACGGACATGCGTAAATCGACTCAGAAAGTGATTCTATGCATACTCTCAAATGGAACCATGAATCTATCTCGTTTCCTTTTGCCTGTTACAAATATATGTAGAAAGACATAATACCCAATACACAATGTGGTGAAGGTTATAAAAATGGATTTCTTTTTTCGCCAACCTAATATATGTATATGTAAAGGTCCTGGTCCCTTTGACTAGCAACATATTGTCAGTCCATCATACAATTTGACTGATGACATGCCATATCAAGATATAAAACGTTTTCTTAATGAATTCTAGAGTTACTAGCAACAAAATTGTCACACCATAGCTCAACAACGAATGTGTCCTTCTGGATTCTTAATATACTTGCCAAAAGCTTTCATCTTCATAAGGAATTTTCCACTCCCTAAAATCTTGCAATATAGAACAAAGCAATTCTTCTAGCAACAAAATTGGCACACCATAGCTCAACAACGAATGTATCCTTCTGGGTCCTTAATATACTTGCCAAAGGCTTTCATCTCCATAAGGAATTTTCCACTCCCTAAAATCATGCAAAATAGAACAAAGCGGCATTTTGTAAGCACTTTAGAATTTTATGCGATACTAGCATAAGCCCGCTACGTCGTTAGCGGGTCTTTCCAAAAAAAAAAATATTTTATAGTTAAAATAGACATTGATTTAGCTACACAATATAAATTTATATATATTTATGCATTTCTAAGTATTTACTAACAATGATCCATATCACACATTAAACTTATTTAATAATCTCCACACTTTTGGATTTTGTATAAATCAGAAAACGTCGAATAATCATAGCTCAGGTCCTATACATTAATTAAAAAAATCATAGATCTTAGTCCAAATTTCTTCGAACATAGGCTTAAGAAGCGTTGGTGCTCGAATTTTACTATATAGATTTTACTATATACTACACGTTCTGTCGTACACAATATTTAGAACCCTAAGTACTAAACTGCGAAAACATTGTTTTTAATACAAAAAACCTTGTACCAAATTCTATCTCCACCCGTACCGCCGTATACCATGTGTTGTACTTTTAGAAATTATTTCTGGAAAACATTTATGTATAAATGATTGTCATCATAGTTCCATATAAGTATTTAATAACAGGTGCATATCTTTAACCGTTCTACCGTACCCAATATTTAGTACTTGTTGGTACCTTGATGTACAATATACCAACATGTTAGTGTATTAGGCAATGCCAATTTCTATCCTATTAACTTGTTGATGGCGCTGGGAGTAATTATATTTTTATTTTAGAAGCCACATACAGGAATTCCAAGCTCTACCACTTCTAATCGCTCAATACATATTTTTAGTAGTTTCCAGCCTTTTTGGAACCCTTTTAATAAGAAACTTCATCACTGTATTATTTTGTTTGCGTACTAACATTTCCCACTTTTAGGACAAATATTTGGTATATTTATATTTCTTATCATTCACTATGGTAGAGAATTTAGTACTTATTTCCAATAATATATATTTCAAGTTTTAATCTACACCGTTTCAGTTGTCATTTAATATTTAGTACCATTTCAGATTTCGGTTCCATTGTATTTTTTATTTACTACTTTTTATCAACACTTTAGTACTAATTTGTAGTAGTAAAAGCTACATACAAAGTTCCTGATTTCTATCCCTATCGGTTCTATTGTAATTTAATATTCATAACTTTTTAGTACATTTTAGTACTAATTTCTAACAAAATATTTTTACCATCGGTCTATTTGTATTAGATTAAGTTACATACCATATTTCAAATATATACCCGTACCTGTTCCATTGTAATATAATATTTAGTACTTTTTAGTACCTTAAGTACTAATATCT